CACCTGAATCATTCACGACCCAAACTCTAATCTTGGGAAACCTCAAGCCCTATGTATCCCTGGAATATCCTCACATCCCTATATAACCCTATATTATACCTATCTAACCCCTTTTTTAGAGGAACCCCGAAGTTACGGAAATCACCAAACTTTCCGTCCTCCCCCTTAACCCCTAAACCCAAAACCCCTAAACCCTAAACCCCTAAACCCCAAACCCCCTAAACCCCTTAACCCTATACACCTTAAGACCCTTTGGAAACTTTCCGTCCTCCCCAGGCTTCACGAAGTCGCGAGGTCCGCCCGAGGTGGTGGCAACCACCGGCTTTCCCGAAGCCCAGGCCTGAATCAGAAAGATGTTAGGGTTTAGGGTTTAGGATTTAGGGTTTAGGGTTTAGGATTTAAGGTTTAGGATTTAGGACTTAGGGTGTAGGATTTAGGATTTGGGGTTTAGGGTTTGAGGGTTTAGGCTTGAGGGGAGGTAAAGGGAAGAGTGGAGGGATGGTACTTGAACCCTAGGGGCGATGTTCGGGGTGTTGGGAGATTAATGTTGCTTACTATGAGGGTTCAGATACTTGGACTACTTGGAACATGTCAAAGGTTTAGGGTGCGGAGTTAGGGCTTGGGGCTTCAGGTTGGGGTTTAGGGTGTGAGGTTTCAAGTTCAGAGTCTTGGATTTGTGCCTCAGGGTTTGGGATTGAAGGTTTGGCGTGCATCTTCACATCTAAACCATGGGCCTACTGTGATTTATAGCAACTAATCTGATGAGGGTCCAAGTATCTAAATACACTTAACCCTACGCCCTAAACACTAATTTGTGCCCGCAGCACTTGTATCAAAGGTTCAGACCATGGGCCCCTTCTGTTTCAGAGTTTCTTTCAGGCTTTAGGCTCGGGGCTTTGGGTGTAGGGTTTAGGGTTGGCGGATTTAGGCATTAGACTGCAGGGTTTAGAGTTCAGGGTTTGGGACGTAAGGCTTAGGATGTAGAGTTTGGGGTTCCAATACCTGCCCTGAATTTCGTACCGGGTTTGGGCCCCAGTAGTAGCAGTAAGAGTGGGGGAAATGGTGATAGGAATGCAAATAGCATGGAATGGAAACAGAAATAGACATTGAAATATGGTCGTAGTGGTAATAGCAATCTTATGACTAGACCAATCAGGGTCCTGGACTTGAGAATTCCGATTACACACAAAGTAGTCTTACTGCTCAGCTAGCACCTGAAGACCCTGAAGCCTACACCCTAAACCTTACACAAAACCCCAGCCTAAACCCGAAACCCTGAACCCTAAACCTTGACTAAAGTTTCAGTCCCCGGCTCTAAGACGAGTGTGCGCACGAACCTCAGCCGTTGCGAGGCTCTTGAAGACCGAGACGGGCATGTCATCAGACACCCGGTGGAAGAGCTTCTGCAAGCCTGCGCTGAACTGTTTGTACACGCTCTCCTGGAGGGAAGCCACCTCTGCACCTGGGGGCCAACCAAACGGCCATCAGCTTCACGCTTTCTTGGCTTTGCAGCAGCTGACCTACGCCTCTGCGAGTGAAGGTTCGATGGTAATTATAAGCACAGTTGTAGGTACACAATGAAAACAACATCTTGCAAGTATACCTTGGTCGACATAAGTGTATTTCCAATGTCTCACCCTGGCATTCTTCTGCAAATGGCGATATTAACATTTATGAATCCCCGACCATTTACATTGGTCGCCAGAAATTCCCAAGCCTTATACCCCTAAACCCCAAACCCTGAGAATTACTTACGTTTTGGGTTCTGGTCCTTTGGGTTCGGCTGCGGTAGGTTGTGGGGAGTCGATCCCTTTGGAGTACAAGGGGGTTTTAATTAGTTCAGGGCTGAGGGTTTCTAGAGTTAGGGCTTTGGGGGGTTTAGGCGGCATACGGTACGGGAGGTTCCAATATAGAACCCAACGTGCTGTTATCTTTCCTATAGGGATGTCCAGGAAGGGGCCTCTTATTGACGGAGAACCCCCCACACATTGACTTTTAAAACCCATCATGTGAAGGTCCTGAACCCCCAAAATCCAAACTCCCTAGACCCTAAACGCTCAGCCCTTAACCCTAAAATCCCCATGCCCGAAAACACAGTATATGAAGATGTTGCTGGGCCAGATGACTTCTACCATCAATCGCGGGATTTTGTCTTGTCCAAGCATGTTACAGAGAAATGCCCCAGAGTAAATGGGAATTTGAAAAAGTGAGGGTCCCTCTCAAGGTTAGCCATCGACAGTAAAACCCGACCCTACGCCAGAAGTCCCCTAACCTACGGCAGCCAGACCCTAGATACTAAACCCTGAACCCTAAGCCCCAGACCCGGATTTCAAAACCCCGAGCCCTGAACCCTACGGAGTCATCGAGACCCCTAGAATAGTCAAAGATGCCCACATGTTGGGCAAACAGCGCTGTCTGTGGCGACTGGGGTTACCTTCCAGGCACTCCTAAACCCTAAACCTGCCTCCAGGACCACGATGCCAAAAGGCTCGTTCCGGCTGGGGACCACCACAGCATCGCACGACTTGAAAAGAGCCTGCAAGGGTTGGTCTCAAAACTGTTGGGGCTATATTGGGATAATGGAACATAAATGGAAACTACATATAGGATTAAGGGTTTAGGGTTGTTCTCAAAAAATTATGGGCTCCTTTTGTTATAGGCTATATTACGGCACCAAGTATTTATAGGGGTCCCATTTTGACATATCGGAACTACCCAAATCGTGCACAAGACATTGGGGCTCGGTGTGTGTTAGCGGCTCAGGGCCCCGAGATTAGGGCTTGTAACTCAGGGTTCAGGGTTTCAGATTTGTTTCGGGCTGAAACTTGACATTTCGTAGGCTCACTTCCAAGCGACTGTTGAAATTGTCGGTATTGGAGTGGGCTGCAGGGCTTATAGCAACTTCCAGCATAGTACTCCCAGTCTTACGGAGAAAGGGCAACAGCCCAGGCGACTTCAATTGAGTTTAGGATTTAGGGTCTATTGCTTAAGGGTTACAATCCACAATGAATAGCAAACCCTGTTCGCCCATCAAAAGCCCCATACTAGGATGTCTAAGAGTAGCCAAATTCTCTAAGGAGCCCAACTATTGAGGCCCAGAACCCTCAATGCGAAAAACTTGCAGTTTCATGTCTTCTTTAGACCCGTACTATAACCCCACACCGTAAACCTTAAACCTATAACAATTCTATTCCTATACTCTTTCTATAGAACACCTTTAGAAACCATTTAAACCATGTGTGTATATATATATATGTATATATATATATATACATATGCCCTTACAAGGGACCCTGTTGTAGCCCTTATCTACCCCATAAGAGACACAGTCAAGATTTCCTATGTAATTCAATGGACATGGGTTCCTCATTAATGACTATCTTAGGGACTATACGAAACTACAAGAGGGCCCCTATGTCCACCTTCAATGGTCCCTTGGAAACCCTATATAATAGCGACAGTGGCTAAAACCCTACACCCTAAACCCCAAACCTTTAAACCCTAAACCCCATACCCTTGAACCCCAAACCCTAACCCCGCAAGCCCTAACCCTAAACCCTAAACCCTCAACCCTAAACCCTAAGCCCTAAACCCTAAACCCCATGGAGGCCTTCAAATGGGCGCTACCACTCTTCAGGCCGCCGGTGAAGCAAACGGCATGGCCTTTGGGTTTAGGGTGTAGGGTTTAGGGATTAGGGTTTAGGGATTAAGATTTAAGGTGTAGGGGGGTTTACCTGGGCCCACGAAGTAGGTAAACTTATTAAATTAAACTTATAGCTCAAAACCCCTCAATAACCTACCAAAAGGCCATATTCTACAGGTAGGGATTGAGGTTTAGGGTTGAGTGTTGGTTTGGGAAACGGTGTACAGTGGATTATCTGGAAAGATCAATTTCCCGATGTAAAGGGCATCTTCTCCACCTAAAGGCTTTCCGGGCCCACATTGAAGGGACTAAGCCCTAAACCCTAAACTTCTAAACCGAGGCAAGTTGAGGATTTGCTTGGAGATCCTGTGATACAACACGTCCACACGGCCCACAACTGCAGACAAGCCTCCAGCGAAGGTGCTGATATCAGAGTAAACCCCATAGGAGTAGTGTTTTTTGGTGGTTGAACCTAGTAAGATTCTATTCCTTATACAAAATACTATACCCCAAAAGGAGGATATAACCTTACTCTATATTGGGTAGCATAGTATCCCCTACATAAAATACCACTCATATGTCCCGACATAGCTACTAAACCTTAAACCACCCTATACCCTTTTAGGGCCCAGGGCAACCCCTTTAGGAAGGCCGCCCTGGGCCCTGAACCCTAAGCCCTACACCCAAAACCATATGAGCTATAGCCTAAACT